GAGTTTTTCATTTCTGTTTATGGTTTCTATATTCATGTAGTTTAGGATGGATTACTGATTGGGCTATTAAAGTCCATCATAATGCTAGGGTTGCCTTCAAGCGACATGTGAGCAGAATTTCCTCTTTACAGGTTGAAGGGTATACCGCCTATGTACTCGGTCGGCAGGGTCTCGTCAGCGATAATAGCCATCACCAAGGCTTTGCGGACAGTGAGGTTGTAATTTGGAAAATATAATTTATATATGCATCTCACTACATTTTTGTCGCCCTATTCTCCATAAAAATTACTGATAGAGTGGGCGCCAGGTTCTCAGGCGACCCTTCAAGCTGCCGGAATACTGCAGAATCTTCCAGGCTGTAGCCTTTGGGTTCAGAAAAGTTGCTGAAAATAGCTAATAGCAGGAAACCATATAAAGAATATCAATATGTATAGACGTTGACAGTCAAACAATAAAGCAATATTCTTACATCGCATTGTTTCAGAGTATTAGAAGCGGGGAGGCAGTACATGCGGTGGCTGCCGGAAAGTATATATACTGAGCTCCGGTTCATAAGGCCATTTCGGGAAACAAAATAGCTGATGTGATTGCCAAAAGTGCCATTCGCCAGACTATAGGATCAGTGCAGGAAGTACGCAAGTCGCTAAAAACGATACAAAATGAAATTTCCGAAATTGCTGACAGACGGTTCAGAGTGAGATAAAATGTCTTAGAGGTATGCAGGATATCCAAGATCATGTGCACGAGAGCGGAAGGAAAGCACGCAAGCTCTCTACTCACGGGCTCGAACAGACGGCAGGATGCTTTTTGGCCTAGTCACAGGTCGCAACTTACTGACATCACATTTAAGCCATATGGGTATTATTAAACGTGACACATAGATAAAGGGTACGGAGGTAGGCTTGAGACAGACGCTGGAACATCTCTTCTGCTTCCGGTTTAGATATCCCGGAGCTTCGCAGTTCAAGGCACTAGATGAAGTATCAGAGATAGATATGAAGTCTCTATTAAATCTCGAAAAATGAATTGTTATGAAAACTTTATCATGTAAACATGTTAACTAAGTATTTTTTGGATATATTTCTTCTTTTTACCTTTCACTTGGCTTACCGCTCTGTACAGTTACAATTGGTCTGAGTATGTTACAACTGAGCTTGCTTGTGATCTATAAGGGGTCTGTCGTCAATTTTAGTAGATAATTGGGAATTTTTATAATATAAAATTATGTTATTACATGGGTTGTCTGAGGCCTTCTGAGTTTTAAGTTCTGATCAAGCTTTCCGATGTCTTTATATAATATCATAAAACGTTTTAATGATGTATTAATTTGATTTTTCAATCTTAAAAAGTACGAGTTTTTGAACTATTAAATAACTTGGAGTGATGTATGAACTTCTCAGACTTCACAAAATACTTTTTCGTGGAATTCAAATTGTTGAGAATGTTATTCTTTTTATAAACTGTCTTTTGGTAACATTTGTACTACATTATAAAAATGATTGCCGTAAAATATTTGGATCGAATGAGGGCTTTGCCAATGAGCTCCTTAAGACAACCTCTCGATTTGTAGCAAAAAACTTTACTTAAAATATGGAGCAGATGAGAATTGTAAATACCAAAAATATTTTTATTTGCCATGTTTAAAGTGCGGAGAGCATCCTTGTGATATGTTAGCACAATCAAAGCAGTCTAACAGTTACCGTTACACTTTAAAATAACGTGACATCGCGCTAATTACAGCAACGCATAGTAATGTCTACATATTCTTATATATGTATATAATAGTTTATGACCATAATAATAATAATGATTAAACCATCTTGTACTAAAGGCTAGTAAGACCAATAGTGAGTGGGAAATTATGGTTCGCTTTTAATTAGAGCGTTTTGAGTATGGTGAGAAGAGAAGAGTAGAGATGAAAAAGCAAGCTAAAGGGTGAGGCAGATTTTAAGGAAGATTCCATACAATATATAAGCCAAAGAATATGCTAGTGCAAGTTTCTGGCAATATTGCTGCAACAGTGTTCCTGTCGCCAGACGGTTATCATGTATACACGACAGTAACTATATGTGTATGTCTACCATTGCAGTAAAGAATATTGCCTTAAGCTGTTGCTGTGCAGCCTCAGAATTGAGGATGTAAAAAAGACGATGAAGAAGCAGCATAGCAGAATCTCAATTATAACGGTTGTATGCACACTTATACACCTCGACACATAAATGCTATTAAAAGCAGTAAATGTTGGTGTGTGTATACATGTTTGTGCCAATGTACAATGAAGACACTAACACTTAAAAACGGATAACCGTTTAATGGTCATTTATGTGAGCACATACAAATATATTATATATAAAAAAAAATCTGCAAGGCAATCAACAGCAACAACAATGACAATAGCAGCAACGAAAATGTGGCAACAACCGGCTGCAGCATGCAAATAAACGGAATTTTTTTAGCTAAATTTTCTTTCCATTTTTTTTATGCAAAGCGAATTTGCATACGCAGCACGATTGCGTAGCGGCAAAAACAACAACAACAATAACTGCAACAACAGGAACAGCAACACAATGACAGCAACCGGCGAATCACGCATGAAAACTGTTGGCAGCAACGCGTTGATAACCAGCAAAGACAACAGAAACAATTTGCATTGCAACAGCAACAAAAACACTGTGAGACACCTGTTGCCACCACTGACCACAAAAACAAAGCAAATGTTTGTGCATAACTGTATGTGTATGAATCCTGCCTATAGCTGCGCCGGTTTTGTTGAAGTGTTGGCAAAATTTATGCGCAACAACCGACTTGCAACACATCGGACGCGCCTTCTATGGTCGCATGCAAATCTTTCTAAATTTTGTTTACTATTTACTCATATTATCTACTCTTGCATGTATGTGTGTGTTTCAGCAATTCGCTCGCAATTGCAAGCGCTGCCGCGTCTTGATTGCATTTTGAATGTGTTCAATGGCTGCTGTTGTTGCGCCACGAAGTAAAAAACTCATAATCATAATAATAATAAAGTTAAGAAATATGTGCAAAATAACATTAAAGTGCACATTTGATAAGGCCTCAACTAGCACGTTGAATGGCGGGCCACCAATCGGTTGATGTGGCAACCTTGCAACATACAGTGGTGCGTTGTGGGGAAATAACTGCAGCACAGATACTTCAGTCTCACTAACTGCAGAATGGAAATAGGTAGAAACTGTATTGGCTTCATAAAGCTCACTACTGGTTGAGCCTCAGGCGAGCTCGGCCGATCAGATACTAGCAACGTTGCAATCGCAGCGTAAATCGTAGGATTTCTAGGTCTAGTCCACGCTCTCAGTAAATTTCACCTTTCAATAGTCATAGAAGTTCTAACATGACTTTGATCGATCGGGATTCAGACGATAAGATTAAACATTTTACTGGATGACAGTTGCATAAGCTGCGTGGAAGAGGATGAGATAGAATCAGCACAATACTTTCTTCTCAAACGTCCCACCTTTGCCAGATTAAGGCTAATATACTTCGGATTTCACTATTTTAGACATCTATGTGAAATACTGGGAGTATAAATAAAGTACTTAAGCAGATTTATGATAAGTTCAAGGCGCTTTGTCGTGAGTTAATATCCAAATACAGGGGTTCTTAACTGGCATCACAAAGGCTTCACATTTTGCAGTCTACGTGTGATCTATATTTTGTGAATTTGTTGTAATGGATAATTCGTTGCATGAAGAGATCGAGTTAAAATGATCGTCATCTAATTGAAGTTTCTAGATCCATTTAGAAACACGAGCAACATTTACGACACAAAATACTGGTTCACCTGCGTCTCCTTACCTCATAATCACTGTATACCAATGAGCACTAGAGTGTTTTTTTTTGCATTCACAACCGCCGCCGGCATGATCGACGATCACGGGACACTAATGTGTTGATCATGATCACCGCTGATAGTCACTCATGTACTTCTCTAGCATATGTGTGTGTGTATAGTAGTTCGGGCGGTTAACGCGCGCTTGTGACTACGGCGGATGTGCCTACTACAGAACTCAAGTAGCTGCAAGAGTTTGCAGCTCGCAACGAGAAAACATAACCTGTTCGCTGTGCGAGTGCAACAAGTGCGCATTCTAATATTCGTTGACTACAACAAAAAGTTTTGGAAAAAAAAGGTGGAAACAACAATTTTGTTTTATAAATACGGCTCGAGGGTAGTGCTAAGAGCTTACATATGCATATGCCGTGGTACTCCTAATAAGTACTAGTGCTTATTTAAACTTTTTTACCTTACTGTATGTGCTTGCGATTAGTTTTGATGCGTTTAGCGTTGCAGCGATAGGCTCCATCGCCAGCTTGCAACATGTTAGTTTTTTCTTCATATTTTTTGTTGTTTTTCTTTTATGTTGTGCAATCGTTGCGGTTTTGTGGATAGTGTATGGGAATTTATTAATTATAAGACCACGCTCTGCCATTTAGCACTTTGTGATTGTGCGCATGCGCATTTTGAGTGTTTTAAAGTTTTTTCGTTTTGCTTGCAACTTTCTATCCGGCACAGCGCATATTGAGTTTGCCGCGCTACAATACCCAAAAGGAAGCGTCGTAGACCTTATAAAATATATAGCAATGATCAGCGTGACGTGCCGAGTCGATTTAATCCATATCCGTCTGTATATACTAGTCTAAGTTTGAGATATTGTTCTGAAATTTTGCACACGTCTTTTCCTTAGCAAACAGCGGTTCATTTGTTGGGACGCGCGATATCGAAAAATTATAGCATGTATATATCTGCCTTACAAACTGAACGATCAAACTTAAGTCCTTGTATGGAACACTCTTTTATTTGTCAAGGTATCTTCACGAAATTTTACATAGATAGATTAATATACAAGGCATCGCTACAATCTCTCTCCGAATATATTGTTCAGATCAGACGACTATAGCTTATAGCTGTCATACAAATTGATCTTTGAAAAGCATGTCCTTGTATGGAAAATTAAATTATTTGACGATTTGAAGTTAACGTTTTCTCTTGTTTAATTGTATTTTTTAAAAGGAATTATACATAATTTATGATTAATCAAAGTGGCTTGTATTTTTTATTTATTTTTTAAATTTTTGTAAATACATTTACATATTTTTTTTTATTTTTACATTTATGCACGTTTCGTATTATTTTCTACCTTGTTCGAAAGACACCGCCCCACTTTTAGATCTAGTAAAAATCGCTCAAGAAATCGCTGGTAAGCGAAGTTGTAACGCATAGTTGATTTTCTCTCCATGCTAGCTAATACTTATCTCTTCTCTACCTCTCTTTTTAAGTTGAGACTTCGCTGCCATATATGCATATATTATGGTGACTTATGTTTTACTTGCTGCAAAGTAATTACAATAAGTTAAAGCATTATTTTATGCATTAAAGTTCATTAACATTGTTTTTTAGTTACAACAAAGAAGCTTTAAACACACACTTGTCCAACAAATTATCTATAACCTTTATAATTAGATTTACTTACGGAAGTAAGCTTTCAAATCGTACGTTTCACTTCATGGTCCACTCGTTTAACAACTATTTACGGTACGTTGCACATTACATGACACTTAACAGAATTGACAGATTTTACGACAATTCATTAAAATTTCATTCTGCTTCGCGGTGTTGTAATTACACTGTGACGGAGACAAGCCATTGCCGCAGGAGTTACGAATGTACAAGTTCACAAGCTAAATCAATTAGGAAAAGAAACAGAACGAAATGTTTTCCGTTTTTAAACTTGGTCATAAAGCGTTACAAACTATTTTTTATAAATTTATGTACTTATACAACTATAAAATTAAATATAGTATATACGAAACATTAGACAATTAAATTTCATCTGAAGTAACCATTTTGTGAAACCAAATACCTGTGAACTTAGATTTCATACTTTCGGTTTTTCGTTTTCATTGTTATACGTTAGGTTTTTCTTATCATCAAACAGTCATATGCAAAACTGTCCTTACGGGCCAAAAGTGTGTGGTTAGAAAGCGTGGCTTGTGACTTTTTCCTTGTGTTCGACTATTTGATCAATAATAAAACTCCTCGAGATTACGACATCTATCTTAACTTAACATGGATTTTTGCCCTAATCTCAGTGTTTAAATTCCAACCTCAGAATAATTTTTAGAGGTGATTGTAGGTAAATAATTAGTAAAGATGTGCTGCATAAGGTACTAGTTTTAATGGAAATTATAAGCCACGTATGACTATTGAGATTTGCTACAAATGAAATATGGCATTATCAAGCAGTAGCTCTCGGGTTATTTTATTTTTATCGTTTTTCGAAAGAGTTTCCACGACACCTCTACCTCCACGACAAACATGACAGATATAGCAAGTATGCCGATGATTCTCTGGTGCCTAAGACAGCAAAGAGTTATTATTCTAGCAGTTTTTACAGTTTCAAGGCTCTTCCCTTTATTCAAGAGGTCTGGTCTTTAGTTAAAAGAAAAAAACAACACTTATAGCCTGAATTCAATAATTATTTGCATTATCAAACCAATGTTGGAATAGTAGGTGAGTCAATGTAGCCTAAAAAGTAAGTTTCATCGTCTTTACTACCTATATTTATATAAAAATGGATCTTATACCTCCATTATCTCAGCAAAAGCTCCATATACTTATTTTATATTTAGAAAACTGTATTTATGCTGTAATAAGGGAATACCAAAGCTCAGTCTGAGATTCAAGCTACAAGAGTTACAGCTCTTTTCCGATAAGAATCCGGTCTGCATATTAGAAATGAGTCCCAATTTTTATATAGTCAAAGACTTTCAACTCCTTCGAACAATTCTAAAGTAGATGAATAAAATCTAATGTTCGTATATTGAATATCGTATACTTTTCCGAGTTAGAACCGTCCAAGCCTATGTGACGTCACCATGGCCATGTCAAAACCATTTCATGCTACCAGAACAGTGCCACCCCCGTTCTTAGGTGCCGACGTTCCGAATTTGCATCAGCTCATCTCAGCAATACTACCTTAAGCTACGACGACAAGCGAAAACGTTCGGGGGAGATTCTACAGCTCTCCAGTACACTGTGTATGGGTCTTCCAAAGGTGTTTACTAAGACTAGATAGGAAGAATTAGGGGATAACTCATAGGGTTTCTCCCTATTGGTTATATACATATATAATAGTGTTAACGGAAAATATTAGGTCACCCGCGAACTACTATGCTTATCACTTTATAAGCAGGGGTAACGGTGTTTTGTGAAGTTTACAGAGAAATTCTTATCATTCTATTTTCTAGATTGACCAAAGCTCGATGTCTGCTTGTATGTAGTATACTCACATTGGTGGTGGTTGAACTTTACACCTGTGTTGTCATGCCGTAATAACAATATATTGACATATTTAAAGTAACACTTGCTTTCTACTTTAAAAGTTACTTAATACAAAGTATATATGCTTAAGAGCATTTCGAATTTAGCGTAAAACGTCCAACTTATTTCGTCACATAGTAACTTTCCAAACAAAACAGTATTAATTTTTATGTTTGCATAATATTTTTTTTTTCAACCAAACGCTAGGCAAACTGCACTTTCACACAATCGAGCAAGTTATTTGTACGAATAAATGCATATAATCATGTAGCCATGTACCGCTATTTATATTCGCCCGCTAAGCAATTAGTGCCAGAAAACAACAACGGAACACAAATATTGTACAGTCGTATGACTTTTAACAGCTTCAGCTGAAAATGCAGTGAGAAAGACATTTAAAGATAAAAACAAAGGTATAAAAACCGAAGAGTCAATAAACGAACCAGAAACCGAATGCTAATTACCAACCGACACTAATCAATAAACTGCGCATGCGTAGCAGCAGGTGAGACGAGCCATTACTACATAAGTCTGCACAGTAACTACACCAAAAAAAAAAAAAAATTCAACAACTTTGGTGAAATTGGATGTTCAGCGGTGAGAGAAACTAATTTTGGTAGAAAAGCAGATAACTGTTGGACTTGTCGACCATCCCACACATGCGTGCGCACACTTTAATTAACTGTGGCGCTAATTGTATGAGCTAAACACTAGAAAACGTGCAACATTTAATTTTTTTATTTGCGGTTTTTCGTTATCACCAGTTTGTTATAATTTTTTTTTAAAAACTTAGTATACCATATTTGCCATGAAGTTGATAACACCTAGAAGGAAGCGTCGGACACCCTAATACTCACACTTATACAAGCTGAACGATCAAAATTTAGGTCCTAGTTTGGGGACATTTTTTATTAGACGAGATATCTTCACAGAATTTTGGACGGATTATACTGCAAATCAATGGTACAATCTCCGAATACCTTGTTCAGATCGAATTACTAAATTTTATAGATGCCATACAAATTGACTGATAAATATAAAGATGAAGATCTTTTTATACTTTATTATTCTATAAGAAATACATCTGTAAGGATATTATAGCTTCGGTGTAGCCGAAGTTAACATTTTTGCTTGTTTTCTGTGCTTTTTTTTATATCCGAATTGAAACGCCGTTTTTCATTATCACCAGGTTGTTATATTTTTTTTTATATTTTGTATTTATACTTTTAACTCTTGTTTAGTTTTAATTTTTTTTAGTTTTAATTATTATTTTGTTTTTAATTTTTTTTATTTTTTTATTATTTTTTTATTTTCTAATGGTTAACTTTTATATATTTTTTAATTAAAAAAACAAATTATTATTATTACTTTTTGGTTAACATTTGCGGCGAAAGGTGGCTATTACGTATGTATTACCACAAATGTGACAAGAAGCAATAAATTTACTAATTTTTGTCTATTAAGGTTGTAACATATTATTTGTCTTTCTCAAAAAAAAAAAAAAGTTTTACGCAACGGCCTGCTATTGCTGTAATAGCTCAAAATGCAAGTTAGAAACCACAAACTCAAAAAAAAAAATAAAAACAAAAAATCAGCTTAAATAAGTGTAGTAAATGAGCCGAGTGTTGCTGACACGCTGGCGCATGCGTGCAGCTCAACTGGCTGATTTATTTACACACTTATTGATTTTTTGTTGCTTTGTTTTTTCATTTCCAAACTAATTCAATTTATTTATGTATACTTTCAATTTTTACATTTTACAACCGAATATACGCGTTTATTATAATAATGTGGCTCAACACGACGAACTTGTAGTCATTCGTCATGTGTCAGGGTGCGCGTCTGCGCATTCAACAGTAAAACTGCATAACACTATACTGCATACATACACATACATACATACATACATTTTTAGTTGTGAGTGCATGTAAGCCTGCATGATTTCCAAATCTTTATCTCATCAACTGCTCCTCTTATTTTGTTAGCCGTTAAGTAATAAAGTATCTAATATCAATAAATCTTGTTTGCTCCCGGATTGTGGCTTCGTGTTACGGTGATGGTAATCTGTGTGTATTTTAACACTTGCCAAACCTATTTCATTTCATGTTGCAGAATGATGTGCCGTGTGCGCCAATCCCCATTACATTAAGGTTCAGTAGTTTAGTGGTTATCTATTTGATAATTTTTTTTGCGATATATATAATATAACTACTGATATATAATATGATATTAATTTAGCTCTTCTTTGGCATTTTTAAGTGTCAAGTCTATATGAAAAAAAATATTTATAATAATCAATGCTTTTCCTTATATTCAAATATTATCTTAATGTTTATGTTCACATTTAAGTGACCTTAGTGCAATCTTAGTCGGGCATTGTTTTCCCTCCAAGCATATTTCGGACATGAAGAATTAATGAAAAATAAGGGTCCTTAAAATAATTAAGATAACCATTTTATCAGATAATATACATGAGAAGTTCGGGACCGATGTTACGAAACTTTTCCACAACAGTTGGGTATATGTAATCGAAATTTAGATGTCGCTAAGAACTGTCTCTTTCCAAAATCCAAAGTTAATGTAATTGGTAGAACTATACGTCATATTGAAACAACTCCATCTTGATTAATTCGAATGTGTTTCAAAACTTTTCCGTAACAATTTAGTGGAACATTAGTTTATAATTCAAGTTTTAGATTACTGCGAAATATAGGTAGCTATAATAAAGCTGGAACAAGGTGGTTCAAATCGATAGAAGAAAACTGGTTAAATTGAGATTAAGGAGGGCCAAAAAAGTTTGTAACTTCTCTTTTGTTTGAATTTGATAAAAGTGTAAGCGAATGAAACTGAAGATAAATCAGTATTTCTACTGGTCAATGCTCTCAATATTGGTTACTCTCTGACTCATGAGTCTATTAAGGTGAAATTTATCATTAATTTCAATAAGCGGCAAGGATGATCTTTACCAAAAACCAACCTTATAACTCTTACCGAAGTTGTCATAAGAGACAAATCTTCTTCTTAAAATAAGAAGTAGCGCTTTATAAGTCTGGCATCAAGCACTTTCACGTTAAAGGTTCATATGCCTAGATGGACAGATAAAAGCATAGCGCATGAGTATATATTTAAAAGCTTTTTTTTAAAACTTTGGCAGAATTGAATCCAACGCAGAAATTGTTTCATATTGAATATACTACTTGTATATGCACCAATTTGTTCGATAACTTGTTTTTTTTTGAAGTTAATTTCATAATGCTGCTCTCAGCATAATGCTTCTCTTGAGGTGAATTTCAGCACCACAATCAATCGCCATAGACAGGAGTAGCTGATAAACAGTTGGTCTGAACCATGAGTTAGA